ATCACTCTCGCTTGGCTGACAGCCCCGTGAAATCGATGTTTGCCTGCTTTCCCCCTATTCCTGCGCAGCCGAGTGTAGCTGGAGCAAAACACACACCCTGTTATTGATCTCAGTTCAATTTCATGATCGCCACCCTCAAGTCAGCCTTTAATGCTGCTCGGAAATCATATGTGTTTCCTAGTCCATGTGCTCTTGCACTGTCCTGGAAACGGTTACATTTTTCACATGTATCAGTGAATTTTCTACAGGTTTTTTTTAAGCTCCCATGAATCATCTGCTTGTGGGAACTTTGCTGAGAATGGGTATGAAACATGGCATTTTCTGAAACCCATTTCCCTCCCCCACCCCAGCCTGGGCATTTGCCTTTTGTCTACCCCCTGCTTCCCACAGTCCCTCAAAGACCCATGGCCTTGGCTCTGCATCTCACCCGTCCCATCCTCAGCCTCCCACGGGCCTTGCTCCTACTGATCTCTCAATGAGCGCTTGTCAAGGGAGTGAGAATGGGAATGACTAGCAGCCTGATTTCAGGGAGGCGAGCATCTGTTTTCATCATTTTATTAAATAAAAAAACCACAAATAGACATTTAGCAGAAGAGAAGCACTTGGCAGGAGGCAGGCAAGTTTGGGCAATAGCTTTCAGGCCCCGTGCCTCCAGGGAAGGAAAGAACTGACCCCAGAGAACTGGTGCCGTCCTGGTGCACCTTGAGTACACTGGGGATGGCAGGTCTAAGAGACAACATCATTTCTGAGCGTTGCTCGGTGGGTTAAAAGCATGGGCTACGGAGCCAGACAGGATGGATGGGGTTCAGATCCCTGTTCTTCTACTCCCTAAGCATGAGGCCCTGAGCTACTTATTTAACCTTTCTAGCCTCACTGTCTTCATCTGCAAAATGGGAATAGTAAGAGCACCTACTCCCTAAGGTGGGTGTGAGAAATAAATAAGCTAACATAGGGAAAGTAGTCAGAACAAGGCCCGGTACTTATTAAATGCTCAATAAACAGCAGCTATAAGTTATTATTCTATACTCTTTTGAGTCCTACAACAGCCCTGGGAGGTGTTATATCCCCACTTCACAGAAGAGGAGACCGTGGGTCAAAGGGGTTAAGTGGAGGCTCAAGGCCACATGGACAGAAAGTAGCAGAGGCTAGACTTGCACAAAGACCACGGGACTCTACTGCTGTTTCCCTGCCCACTTCAGAGCTCCCTCTCGGCCTTATTAACGCCACTCCCTTCTCCAAATGTGCCCGGATCTTCCCAGGCAGATGGCACCAAATATTTACTGTACAATTACACGGTCATGATTGAATTTAGCTGGAGGGAGGGAGGCTGATTAGCGACAAATCAGCAACCCTGAGAGGAACAGATAGTTCCAAGGTTGCGTAGGTGGGAATGTTGCTTAAAATTATCCTGGCTCAGGTTCACCTTCACGGCAAGGGCAAGAGACACTCAGCTTGGCCAACATGTGGGCTTGGGAGTCAAGCTGCTGCTGCTGGAAGTGCTGTCGACAGGGTCAGACGCCGTCACCTTAGGCCTCAAGGGATGACATGTTATGATGTGTTCACAAACCCTCTTCCAGTTGCTGTTGAAAGCCTGTTGTGTGCGTCCAGAAGGAAGGTCGTTGTGTGTTCTCCCAGCCTAAGGGACAGGGGTGCCACTGACCAGAACCAGAGCGTGAAGGGAACACACAGAGAAGAGTCGTTCTCTGGAAACATCTCCCAGCATCCCGTTGTGGAGAAGCTCTCGGTTCCTCACAGCAAGTATTTCAGGATGCCCCCAGGTGTTTACCAGGCTCCTGTTGAAATGCCAGCTCATGCTGTACAGAGAATTTTACAAGACACCTGCTGTAAAGTGGTGGGAAAAGCATCGGTGTAACCCCAGGTCTGACCCTAATGAGGCATAAGGCCTCTTGGACACAGAGTCACCTCTCTCAACCTCAGTTGCCCCTTCTGGAAAGTGAGTGACTTAGACTCCATTGGACCCCTTTATCTCTAAGGATTTTATTAGTCTACGAGTCCCTGAGCCTCAGTGAATTCCACCAAGGCTGACTGAGGACTTACTGCTTTCCTGACTGCACAGCTGCCCTGTGGACGAGACTCGTTTCCCATGTTGGGGACATCTCAGTGAGATGGTGAGGTCACAACTCGCCAGAACGTCTTCTCTCTAGAGAGCCCTTTATGCCTAAGCTGGGGGTTCTCAGAGTGTGGTCCCCGGAGCAGCAACAGTGGCTTCACCCAGGAACTTGCTAGAAAGACAGGTTTTCAGGTACCACCCGAAACCTACAGAATCAGAAACTCTAAGAAAACGCCATCCCTTGGGCTGCTAGGACTCGCTTTCAGCTCACAGTCACAGCTCCCTTGTTACCTCCAACAACATTTTGAACCTTTGTGGTATTTTTGTAAACGTCCAGGCGTTGTGAAAACTGCCCATTTGTTTTGACAGGAATGAAGCCATGTAGCACACACTTCCCCGTGGAGTTTCCAGGCCTCCCTGTAAACTGATTGTGACGCTTGGTGGGATATGAGCACTGTGACTAGACCCGCAGTAAGAATCCCAGCCCCAGGAGCACTCATTCCCTATCTCCAAAGAGGAAGACAGTTCCCGGGGAGCTGTCTGCCGCCCTCCCTCCCAAGGAGCCCTCTGAGCACACTCTTCCCTGGCAGGGTCTGAGCCTGCTCCCGGTTCTCAGCAGGGGGGAGCTTGGGGCCACGGTCTCCCTGAAGCAAGTTCACACATCAGAGGTGGGAGACATCAAGGGTGGGGCAGGTGAGGCTCGAGAGAGCCCTCAGCCTTGCTCCTGGACCTTGCTTCTTTCTTGGGACCTGTGGGTCTGTCATCTGCAGCTCCAACCCAGGGCCACGTGCTAGAAAATTAGAAAAAGGCATCCCTTCCAGGTGCCCTTCAGGGTGGACAGAACCCCTGGGGCTCAGGGCTGGGCTGGGTTGTTTGCTTAAATTCTCACAACCACCCAATGAGGTGGTTGTCTCCATATCGTTTTTCTAAATTAGAAAAAGTTTTCAAACTCTCAGCACCTCCATTTTCTCATCTGTCCAATGGGTCTGATATCATCAGCTCTTTTGCCAAGAGCTGGCTCTGCAAAGCAAATGAGATCATGGTGATAAAAGGCCTGTGGAAAAAAAAGATTTGGAAACATCCTACAAATGCCAGGTTTTATATTGATCTTATCCCAGAGTCCTCAAAGGCAGTTTCTGGGGCCTCTGGTTTGAGAAACTCACCTTAAATTCACACAGCCCCCAGTGCTACACGTGGGCACGGCAGGAAGTGAGTTTCCTGCCGGGATACTGGCATCTGGAGGTGCTGCTTCCCCTAAAATTGTTTGACTGTGGGGCTGCAGGGGACGCGGGGGGTGCGCGGGCGCCCGGCGAGTCGCGGCCTGGCAAGCTGGCCTGGACGGGATGACCTCATGGGCTTTCTTATTCTCATTTTAATGACTGGATACACTGTTTCATTTTTGGCTTTCTCTCTCTTTCTTGCAGCTGTGGTGTTTGGGATTTAGGGCAAGCATTTAGGATTCCTTTTCTAATCTCTATTAAATGTGGATTTAGCTGCAAAGTCTGGGGAAGGGAGGAGGGACTCCCCCTGGCTGGAGGCAGTGGCTCAGAGCGTCGGAGAAATTCCGCCAGGAATGCCCAGCTGCCGTCCCCTGAGGTCTCTCATCTCACCCAATGTCATCTTTGTCCCAGGACGCAGCGAGTTCCATCTGCGGGTTCAAACCTCACGTAGGCGCCTTCTTGGGTGCTTACGGGATAAGTCTGGTGGTGGTTGTGATTAGGGAGAGACTTAACATTTGCCTTTTTCCAATTTATCTGTGTCCTTTGTTGAAATGCTTCTTGGCCGGGTCCCTTATCCGTTCCTGCCACTGCCCTGATTGAGGTCGAGTCCTCTCTCAGCCAGGTTAGTGCAGCAACGGTCTGGATCACCCACCCTGCAAACCACTACCACACTCAGTAGACTTTTTTTTTTTAATCCTTACCTGAGGATATTTTTTCCATTGCTTTTTATGGAGAGTGGAAGTGGGGGAGAGAGAGAGAGAAACATTGATGAGAGAGACACATCTATTGGTTGCCTCCTGCACGCACCCCGAGCTGGGCTGGGGATTGAGCCTGCCACCGAGGTACTTGCCCTTGGCCAGAATTGAACCCGGGACCCTTCAGTCCACCGGCCGATGCTCCAAACTGGCCAGGGCTCAACTGACTTTTTATTACATAGCTTCTCTACAGAAGAGATAAATTACATCATATGATGGTAATCATGTTATGTCCACCACTGGTGGCATCACGTACACATTTCTCAGTCTGAATTTAAAGGCCTTTTACAACTGGCTTCAGGTTACCCCTCCAACTTAATTCCTACCTGCGACTCCTAGCAGTTCCTTCATTATTTATCCTACTATCCCCCCCTCCATGTGTGCCTTCTCTCAGTTCAAACACTGTGCATCCATAAGGCTCGCTCACGTCCTTTCTCCTTGACCCCAGCCCACTGATATCCCTGTTCTCTGCACAGCTAGTGTCAGCATCACCCAGTTTTATAGTAGCTATTCTTTCACTTGTTCCATTAGTTAAGTCCCCCCAGGTAGACTGTAAGCCCCTTGACACTGGTCCCTCTCCTAAGCGTCTTCTGTATTCCCCATGGTGTCTGGGCAAACTTCTGTGGCATACAGTAAATAATGAAATCATCTCGACCCTGATCAGGTGTTTGGCCACGTGAAAACTGCATTGATGACTTTCTAGAAACTCAAGGGTTCATTTATCTTGTGAAAAGTAATAGTGTTTGTTTGTAGCCAATACTCATGGTCAGGCAGTCATGCGCGTGCACACCCGACTTTCACATACGCCCTTACAACTTTTCCAAGTGTGAAGAAAAACCGATAAAGATCGGAGATGGGAAAGGCGAACCCAAGCCCTATGATTTCCAGCAACAGCCAACTGGCACCGCGTCCCGCACACTCTCCCAGTGCGTTTGACCTCTCCTCTTTCCCCAGGGAGCTCCTGCGAAAACAAGCGGGCAGACCTGGTCTTCATCATCGACAGCTCCCGCAGTGTCAACACGCACGACTACGCCAAGGTCAAGGAGTTCATCATGGACATCTTGCAGTTCCTGGACATCGGCCCTGACGTCACCCGAGTGGGCCTGCTCCAGTACGGCAGCACCGTGAAGAACGAGTTCTCCCTCAAGACCTTCAAGAGGAAGTCCGAGGTGGAGCGCGCCGTCAAGAGGATGCGGCACCTGTCCACGGGCACCATGACCGGGCTGGCCATCCAGTATGCCCTGAACATTGCTTTCTCGGAAGCAGAGGGGGCCCGTCCCCTGAGGGAGCACGTGCCACGGGTCATCATGATCGTGACGGATGGGAGGCCGCAGGACTCTGTGGCCGAGGTGGCTGCAAAGGCACGGGACACAGGCATCCTGATCTTTGCCATTGGCGTGGGCCAGGTGGACCTCAACACGCTGAAGGCCATCGGGAGCGAGCCCCACGAGGACCACGTCTTCCTGGTGGCCAACTTCAGCCAGATGGAGTCGCTGACCTCAGTGTTCCAGAACAAGTTGTGCAGTAAGTCCTGCCCCTGTGGCTCCTCCAGGGGCATCATTACGATCTATACATTCATCTTCCAGGGCTCACTCTGTGCTGTCTCGCCCCAGGGACTGTGTCTGCAGGGGGTGTTCAGCAAAGGCCAAGAGAGATAGGATGTTTTTAGGGGGTTGATACTCTGGCAAAGGAGACAGATATTAAGCATAAAATTACACAAATAAGTGAGTAACCACAGTTACAACAGTGTAATGGAGGAAGAACTCAGGGCAGGGCCTGGCCTAGCACAGGGTTCCCAGGGAGACTTCCCTGGGAAAGGGACATTTATTTATTTATTTATTTATTTATTTATTTATTTATTTATTTTTAATCTTCACCCAAGGATATTTTTCCCATTGCTTTTCAGAGAGGGTGGAAGGGAGAGAGAGAGAGACATTGATGGGGGAGAGACACATTGATTGATTGCCTCCCTCACGTGCCCTGACGGGGGCCAGGGATCGAGCCTGCAACCGAGGTCCATGCCCTTGGCCGGAATTGAAGCCGGGACCCTTCAGTCCGCAGGCCGATGCTCTAACCACTGACCCAAATGGGCCAGGGTGGAAGGGACATTTAAACCCAAACTGCAGAATGAATAAACATTGATTGTGACAGTTTCCTCCAGTACATTGGACTATCCTCGCATTCCCTAAGTTGGAATTCATGCACTGGGGTAGGGATGGGACTGGGAGGGCAAAAATAATGGCATCATTTCTCCTTGGATGGGTGGAACACAAGCATGTGCCCATGGTGGTGCTGGCACTGGATGTTTTCTCAACAGACAGGCCCAGTGTACGGGGAGGACTGACACGTGGTCCTGGTGCCTTCCCACCTATAAAGATGGCAGGAGGTGCCCCCCTTCCCAGCTCACTTCTCTGTAAGGGGGGCCTCCCCAAGACCTTGAGCCGCTTTTTCCCACCTTAAGGGTCTTCTTCCCTCTCTTGCTTTCTACCCCTACTCTCCACAAGGCTTCCCTCCCCCTTCCTCACTAGACTTCTCCCAGTCACCTCCAGCCCAGCCTCCCACCTCAGCGTTTTCCAGGGGTCAGCTTGCTCTCTCTCCAGTTTCCTATTAATTTTGTGACCTGCTAAGGAGACATGACCCACAGTTTGAAAAGTGCTGACGAAGAGCCAGGCAAGGAGGTGGAGGCTGTGGTGCAGCTGGGGACAGGGTTTCAGAGGGAAGGAGGGCTGAAGCCCACGTCTTCAGTCAGAGCTGCAAAGCGCTGCTGGGTCTTGGTGTCCCAGTGGGAGTGAGGCAGGAACCTGGATCGAGCAGCCAGGAAGAAATTAGGCTCTGGAGCCAGACTGCCCTCGAGTGCGAGTCCTGGCTCTGGCTTTCGTTGGCTGTGTGGACATGAACTTGGACCCAGTGATGTTTTTATAGCCATGGGCAGTGAATTCCCACACCAGCCACAGCAGGCATGGGGGGTGGGACTCCTGAGGCTGCATTCTCAGGCCACCCCTGGGACCACCTGAGAAACTGGGAGGCCAGGTGTCCTGTGAATTGAGGCCCTGTCTACAAGATGACCAAAACCTACATATTCTAGGGGCCACCATTTTTGCCACCCAGTGAGAGGGGACGCAGAATTTAGGGGCTGAAAAATGCATGTCTATGCTGCGCCTTCTGAAAACTCAGTATTACCTGAGCAGGGCTGCTTTGAATTAACTTTCTGGTACCTACTTTATCAACCTAGCCTGGTATTTGTAGCCTGAAGGCTGGCCACTCCTACCCTAATAGCTCCCCCCACCCCTACCCCACCCAGTCTCAATGTAAGGCCCTAAAAGTGTTCCTGAGACACACCTTTCATCAACCAACCTGGGCAAAGTCTACACTCATTACACCCCTTTGAGGCCCTGTTTTGTTAAGTTGGGAGGGCAGATTGACTTCCACACATATTGACTTTATATAGCCAGTAACTGTTTCTTTCAAGGGCCCCAGACAGCCCCACCACCCCCTTCATTATTCTGTTAATCATTCATGGGCTTATTAATAAACATTTATGAACATTAATATTTCCTAGTTTAAAAAAAATCCACTCCTGCCAATGGCAGTCTGCTGATCAGTGATTCCTTCCCCTGAACACAAAGCCTTGACCCAGTTCCAGCCCAGAGGCCTTCGGAGAAATGAGACGACCTGCAGGCCAGCAGAGGAGGCAGAGCTGTCATCTCCCTGTCAGTCACATCACAAAGGCCCGCCCACGGGAAAGCAAGACATTGAGGCCCAGATGCTCGTAGACTCACTGAACAGTCATCCACAGAATATTACAGATGGAAAATTTTATTCTACCTTAGTAAAAGTGTTTGGGGTTCTTTTGGTTGAAGGTAGTAGAAATTCAACTTGAACTAGGTTGGGAAAGGAGGGATTGCATTATATTACTCATGGAATTACGAGAAGAGTAATTAATGGATGACAGTCCTGTCTCCTCTCCATCTCTTCCCTCTGCTTCCCCATGGACTCCTGTCGTCCATGAGCAGAGAGCATATCAGCCCCCCAGATATACTTGCCCTTGGTTTAAGCCTCCTTTTCTCAGTCCTAGTTCCTAAATGCCAAGAAAGGGCTCTGGTTGCCAAACCCTGTCCTACCCAACAAAGGCCAGGAGCGGGGCTGCCTCATACCAACACAGCAGCTCCCACAGTTACCGTGCATTTGGAGTGAGAAGGGCAGTTTCTAGAACAAGGGGGTGTTATACAGACAAAACAGTAAGTGTGTATGCTGAGGGTCCCTAGACACTGTTCAGAATGCTCATTCTAAATTGTATTATTATAAAATAAATGAGTTTTACTGCCTTAGTTCATATTTCATACTTAGAAGTAAGGAGACATATGCCTGTTATACCATGGATTCCATCGGTAGCTGAGTTTTCTAAGCAATGGGTCAACGGGGTTGTTCTTAGCTTTTGAAAGCCTCTTTTGCTTTAGCCTCTATAAATATATTTCTACGTTAGGTCATCTTTCTTGTTTTTGAGAACACTTGTTGGTAAGTTTTAAGTATGTTCAAGTTGCCTTATTTTGAGTAAAGTCATAAATTAAAATATTAAAAAATAAGAATTTTTATGAGCTTCGGACAGACTTATGCAAGAACTGATGTATCTGAAAACTGAAGTACTTCAGAAACTAAATGCAGAAATATTTTAAAGTGAGATATAAAGCTTACAGAAGCATGGAACATATGAATGCATTATTTTACTCCCAAAACTTAGCATAACACTTCTACATATTAAAAAAATTATACTACTCTTGGGATTTATGATCGTCAGAAACTGTTGGTTCCTTTTTGTTGTTGTTGTTAATCCCTACCTGAGGATATTTTTCCCACTGATTTTTTTTTTTT